CAGTCTGCAGACGTTAAAAAACAAACAATCTTCTTCTTGCAGACTGCAGACTTTTGGTCCACCTCTTCTGCTGCAGATGTGGTCTGCAGACTGCAGACTTTTTACCTCTGCAAAAACAAACAACACCTAAAACAAACTCATTTGCACTCATATTTCCAAGTTCTGCCACCAATATACTTGTTCTTGAACTCATCTTGGAAGAATTGTCAATTCACTTGTTCAGGCGATGCATACATCATGGTATTTGTCTATTACACCCGAGCTGATCCTCGGAGTAACAATACAGCTTCGCCCAGTTTTTCATGATCGGAGCACTGTAGACTCTCCAACATTACCATCACATCATTCAACCATAAATCCGAGACCATCGGACATTCACCTTCTTCTCTCCGGAACGCAGGAGCTCCTAAACTTCTTAATTCCTTAGTGATTAACATTCGCGATGCTAGAGGAGCAGAGGGAGGCGGAGGAGGTTGGAACCGTGTCAAGATAGCATCGAGAGCTTGTATAAAAGCTCCAAACTCCGGAATAGGAATACCCTGAGGTACCGATGCGCTGGTGTTCTCAGAAGAAATTGGATTTTCGCTATTCACTTCAAAACATTCACTACCCGATCCATCTCTACTCTCTCGTCCAGCTACGCTTCTCGAATTCGTAGAATTCGACATCTAGTATAACATACATAAAGATAGTACTTAAGTTAGTAAGGAGTGGCATCTATCATATTCTTTATATACTCTATCAGTAACTTGACATCTTAGTGTCATGTAAACTCTTTTTTTTATAAAAATACACTCAATTTCGGTCGAGAATCAGCTAAACCTATAGCTCTGATACCAATAAATGTAACACTCATCTCCTGTATATCTTTCCGTATACGAGATACAAATGTCACATCACTTTTAAAATAATTCCTCATGTTGTAAACCAGTAAAATTTTGTTTCTTTTTATAAAACATTTTAATTTACTTATAATAAAACATGCATTAAACATAAATAGACAAACAAAAAGAAATGTTCAAACACTTCACCGTTTTACATTAGTTTGATTAAAATGCTTTTCAGAGCGTTTTTACTAAACATATTACATGCAAACTAAAATACATCAAAAGTAGACATGAATGTCATATTGTTACTGATGAGGCGACTCTTGCTTTGATGTCCAATGATCTCCTTACTCAGTTTGTATTAAAACCTACGCATGAAATAAACACATGTTATGTATTATTATGTGAGGCAAAACTAATCGTACAATGAAATCATTATATCATTATTTCATATCGATCAAATACCAATTCATTATTTTCAAGTTATTATCATTTCTTTGTAATACACCCGTAGTGCTAATACTCATTCATAAACATATTATGAATTCCATGGTTTACAAACATAGTGCCGAAACGGTTATTCATCAATATATGATGAATTCCGTGAATTGCACACTTAGTGCCGAAACGGTTATTCATCAACATATGATGAATTCCGTGAATTACACACTTAGTGTCGAAACGGTTATTCATCAACATATGATGAATTCTGTGAATTTCACACTTAGTGCCGAAACGATTATTCATCAACATACGATGAATTCCATGAATTGCACACTTAGTGCCGATTTGGTAATCACCACATAAATATATTAAGCAATCATACATCTATAACTAGTATAAGATATAGTTACACAATTAAATACACTCACATGGCTTGCCTCTCTATCGTATCCAAAACACAAAGTTGATTACTCAGGTACTTTGCTTTTGCCTTTAGTTTTGCTTGACTCAGGAACTTGATTTTTATTTACTCAAGCATCCATTAAAGACATGTACAAAATCAATTGTTAGCATATTTTCTAACAATTATACTTAAACAATACTCAATAATACTATTATTATATTTTCTATAACAATCTCTGCCTATCTTCACATTTCTGGCTCAATAGTATCGATACCCCTACCATGGTATTGATACTACTATACTATGGTACCGATACTCTATTTCGGTACCGATACCATTTTTGCATTATGTGACCAAAGGTATTGATACCTTCCTCATAATATCGATACCCTTTTCTCAGTATTGATACTGATTGCGTTAGTATCGATATTACTTAATTGATTTCTTCCAATTTTAAGCCTATAATATTGATACTGTTCTACCAGTATTGACACTCGTACCTAGATTTTCCATTTCTTAGCCTGATTCTTTTCCAAATTTTGTCAAACTTCCTTATGCTTACACCCAACAATGCCAATAAACTCTTCTTTACTTATCCCTACTAAATTCCCTTCATTTAACTTCTTAAAACACCTAACGTCTCCCAAGAACATTTCAAACTAAGAATCACACCACTTTTTCTAACTTGTTTTTAAACTCATCCAATGCTTCTAATCTCTCATTTTACCTCTTTGACAAGTCAAAACTACTAATAAACATCAATAAACACTCATATATTAACATATAATTTCAAAACCCATTTTCTTAAATCTCTAATATTTCCTCTATCTCATAGTTTTAATCTTATATAACCTTTCCTTAAGCTTACCTATCACTTAAGTTTGCAAGAACAACTAGAATCGAAAGGAAACACTAACCAAATAAAATCTTTCCTTTGCTAAGAAGGAGAGCCTTTTTCCACGGGGGAAGAAGAAGAAAAGAGAGATGACTTTTTGGTAACATATTTTCCCCTTTCCCCTATTTACTTTAATACCTTATTAAAATGAATTTTAAATTCATTTTCCCCTTAAAGGACCAAAATGCCCTCGTAATCATCCATTGATACAATTTAGTCTAAACCACTAATCCAAATCATTCTTTTCTTTTATCATTTAATCGAATAAATCCTCAAATTTTTAAGACCTTTCAATAAAGTCCCTAATTCGATATTTGGGGCATTACATCAATTTTTAATTATATTTTTTTAATTTTGTATTTTAAATTATTGTGAAAAAAGACAAAACAATTCAGTTAATGGACTTCGCTTTTGTAGACAACGAGGTCTGAAATATTTATCACGCGATAAATTTGTAACTTGATTTAATTTCTCGGTAAATTTATAACTTGATTTAATTTCTTGCATGCCTTGTGTTATGCAGAACTCGAGTTCATTTGAAGAAATATTAAATTAGGTGATCTGAAAAGTTCATCAACGTTGGACGTTTCTCAAAGGTTGTATAATGCTTGTTCGTTATACACATTTTGTAGAACGCAATGTAGTTTTGTGTAGGCAGTTTGGGGTCATTTTTTTAAAATAATGTTGTTTGTGAGTTGTTTCTTAATTAATTAATTTTGAGGGGCTTTTAAAATAAATATGCCATCCTTATAGACAATCAAATAACATTCTAAACCATCACATTAAACACTATAACAAAAATTAATCATTTAATTAGATAATCAAATCAACATTCTAAACGTCATTTTAAACACTATAACAAAATTTAATCAATTAATTAGACAATCAAATCAACATTCTAAACCGTCACATTAAACACTATAACAATAATTAATCAATTAATTAGAAAATTGAGGGAAAGGGATAAATGGGCCCTGAAATTAAGAAATAGAAAGTAGAACAGCTAAAAAAAGGTGGGAGGCGCGTCTGCTTCGCTCTCCATGCACAAGAGAGGGAGCAATAGGGGTAGAGGTTAGGGATAAAGTCATCCTCCATTGGATTTAAGTGGATTCCACGCCATTATTTCTTCATTCCCAATTATGTGACTCGATTGCTGATTGGAGGAGAAAAGGTTCATTAAACCCCCAAACCCTCTTCCTCTTGTTTCCATTCCATCGTCTCGCCGCGTCTAATTGCATATGCTGTGGACCCCACCTTTCTTTTTCACTCCCACCATTTAACACTTTTGCCATTGGATGCCATTTTTCTTTTTTCTTTTCATTATTTGACATTTGGATATCTCCATTTATACAAAAACCATTTCTTCTCTCATTCACTTTTGTAAGTGAATTCAAGTGTGAGCTCTAAAGTAATTAGAATATTAACACACAAGTTGAATGCATGAACCAATGTTAATATATATATATATATATATAAATGTAAAGATGATTAAAGCAATGCACAAATGATGAGTAAAAGATTGCGCACACACAAAAAAAAAGTTTAAAGAAAAAAGCAATTACAAGGAGTTTAACTTGAAAACTATAACATGATAACACTATAAGATGGAAAAAATAATCGTCTTAAATCCTTAACCAAGAAATTACAAGGAAAATAGAGATTAATGGGAAAGCAAATAGGAATGCATCCGTCATCGTTTTTTTTGTCTTACGATGGAACGAAACAAACTTCTCAAAATTTCAAAACTACCCTTTTTCATATAAATGGAGATGATGATACTAGTTAAATTAATATTAAAAAAATTGGTGCATTATTTTTTTTATTGAATTCTTAAATAATATGTAAAATATATACACAAAATGAAAGCTTTTAAAAAAATATTAAATAAATAGAGTAACAATGTATGTAAGAGACTTTAGCATTCTTCTAAAATAGTTCCTTCTATTATTCTATTTTGCTCAATTGTATGCATGTGTGTAAATATATATTACCATAGTTACCAAGGCATTAAAGGGAATGTTGGGGTCTGTTACACAGTTAAATGTAGTTTTCACTCTAACCAAAATACCCAAGATTACACAACCATTCATTATATTAACACAAACAAAAGCAAAGCTTAATACCTAAGGAACCCCCCATTCCCTAAAGATGGAATACCATCATTTACACATGTTTATATATACTTTACCCTATATATGAAAACCTGGAAAAAAAGGTACCTGTAAAACTATCTAACTTCACAACGAGAAACACTTTCCCTAACCTACTGATTAAATTACACAAACCATGAATTTCACGTATCAAGCCGATCGAATTCAAAGCTTTCTTGTTACCTTTTTCGCAGCAACAATTCTGGATGAAATGGAGATGAGGAAGGTTGAAGTCATGTTAGTACTGCAGTGAAAATCACATGAGCTTTACAATTTTGTAGTCAAGCCAGAGAGGATAAACGATTTAGTTGCGAAATATGTGTTCTCATGCTACATTCTGTCACCTGTTCATTAGAACAATTAGTTTAAAAACAAGCTATATACTGTAATTCATATAATAAAAGAAAACAAAACAAACAAAGACGGTCCTCACTTGCATAGCAGCCATTGCGGACAGAAGATCTTTGCACTGATTCAGTAAAACAAACTCATTTGCACTTATACTTCCAAGTTCTGCCACCAATGAGTTAAGTTCTGCAACCTAACAACCAAGATTAACGAGACAAATTAGATGCTCGAAAAGGAAAAACAAAAATCAATGAAGTATGGTTTTATAAAAGATAAAAATGACTTCAAAAAGAATAACAATTGTTATTAAAGTCAGTGAGGTATAGTTATCATTGTCATCCAAAACCCAAATGGGAAATTCCGTAAGATCAATAACCTAAAGCAAGTAGCAAGACTAGATCAAACAGTCATTTCCATGCTTGTTTAAATGAGCACACAAGCAATCCAAATAGAACTAACATAAAATCAGTTCGACCAAAATTACAAAACTTCACTAAAGAAATTTACGGCAGAAACCGCCAATCCACTTAACTCAAAAAGGTCATGTGTCAAAGAACAAGCTCTAAGTTTTAAGCTGATACCAGAGCCAAACATGGGCAAGTGGTAAATGTCATGTGACGAAACTTGCAACTTCTTTACTTTAGTTTCTCAGGGATTTTAGTAAAATCAACCAAATACCAGGCAAACCATAGTATAAACTCATCATTCAACAAGACTAAAAACCAAACTAAGGACACAGGACTTAAACCTAGCCTGTTATACTAAAGGGGAGTTACAAGATCATCATACGTCTATCATAGCTAATCTTTAAGAGAGGTACATTATTAAATCTAAGAAATCTCTAAACATAGTCAAACCACTTATACAAGGCCTAACACCCAATGAACATAGTATTAAATAGAAGAGTACTCAAGCTTGGCATTTTTTTCCAAAAAAGAAAAAAACTGTCAGGTGGACAGACTTTTTCCAGGTCGCATCTTATCTAAATCTAGTATTTAGGATAACAAAAGGTTCGTGCACAAAATAGGGACAAAGGAACATACAAAATCTGCAAATAAAATAGAAAATGAGGGGACGGTGGGATAGGAGCTAAAGATGAGGATGGGGAGAAGAAAAGAAAGAATCACCCTTGGTGACAATGAGCATATGGAGGATGTCATTGCCTGCATTACATTGATAGCTGAACATATTGCATCCTTCAATTTCAGGACATCAGCCTGTAAGAATGAATAGACAAGCTAACATATCGGCAACTGAGATACCACAGATGAAATGGCATACACAAAAGTCAAAAGAAGCAACTTACCCTTGACCCACAAACAACTGGAAGGCGGAGTGTGCTAACCTTCAAAGCTTCAGTAGCCCCAGATAATGAACTGCAATATTCAAGGTCCAGCAGAGCTCATTTGTCCAAAAATGTCATCTGCACTCACCAACCAAAATAATGTATGCTATACTAGTCAATAGATGATAAAGCATTTGATCGCATGAACCTGAAAGAAGCAATTCAATGCAGATATGGAAAGTCATAAGAATATAAATTTCAGGTTTCTTGAAATGAAGTTAAAGTTAGCAATGTATATTGAAGTGGTTAGACATTCAAGTTCCAGTTTCAAGCATAAGAGAAGCAGAGACAGGGAGAGAGAGACATCAAGATCGAGCAAAACAGAGAAATCTACACTTTGAAATGCAATGCCTTGCAAAGAAAAACTAGTATGTTAAGATCTGCAAAGTGATGAGTTACCCTAAAATACCCCAAGAAAACATCAAGTCAACAAGAAAGAAATCCACAATAGAGAGATGGTTCTTACTTGCCCCTTGAGGATGGAAATCAGCTTCAAGTTTTGCCTCAGCAACTGTAATTCAGTTCTTTTGGTTCTAACAGATTCCAGCAATTTTGAGGTAGTTGTCCATGCATTATAGAGGCTTTTCTGCTACAAAAACAAGATGACAATAATTTGTCCTATTATAACTAAAACGAAGATGATTACAGACAAAAACCATAAGTGACCAGAGAAACAATAAGACAGTTAAAAATGAAGTGCCACGCATAAACAAACAATGTGAAAAGATAAAAAATTAATATCAATCACATCACCCATCAAGATGAGAAAAATTTAAATGCAAATAGTAATTCCCCTGTTTCTCGTTTCTTAGAATCAACATGTCTTCAACCGCAACTATTTTTAGGGCACATATAATTTGGTGATTTTGTATTAATTAGGATTAAATTAAAAAGGAGTTGTCATCGACCTTTGGGCTACGTAGGTTGAATACTAAAAAACGTCTTTTAAAACAATTTTAATAAAAATCGTTTTGTAAGAAAAAATTGGTCTTTGTATACCAAAAATCTAATTTAATGGGTTCAGGAGTCGGTTACGCGTGGGAAAAGATTAACACCCCTACAGCGCCCAAAATTGATATTGTGTCGCTTACACGTTGTCGTAATGGTGGAAATTGAAAAGAAATCTTGAAATTAGCAATTCTCTATCAGAAAAGCTAACTCGCCTATTTCTTATCAATAAAAGAATATTCCCTCCTCATTTATTTTAAAAACGTGAATCGAATATAAAATGAAAATAGATCATTGCATAAAAATAAATTACTATATAAAAATGCATTGAATCACTTAAATAATAAAAATAATTAGCAAAATAAACGAGAATTGTTTCAAGTTCCCATGTCTTTAAAATGTCATATCGGATCGCACCACTTCGACCAAGTGATGTTTTCCAACGCTCATTTATGCGTATGTAGTCTTGGAAAACATTCGAGTGATTTCATCAATAAATAAAACAATACAAATGGAAATAAATGCAGCTGGAAATTTATAAAATAAAATATTTACATTTAATGGAACTAAGAACATTTATTTATATAATACAAATAACCACATAATATGTAAAATACATTCATACACAATGACTAAAATAAAAATAAGTGAACGTTACAAACCAAAATGAAATAACCAAAATATAAGTATTTACAGAACTAAAATAGAATTATCAGAAACTTGAAGGACGTAAAAATAATCCAGAGCCAAGAACGAAAATATATAACAGTACATGTATTAGAAATGAAAATAACCCATAAATAATTAAACCAAATGCTGAACAGTGACTAAAATAAAATATTTACAAATGTCATGATCAAATTCGAACATCAAAGAAAATATCATAACATATGAAATCATTGACTAAAACACAAATATCGAAGAATAAGTGCCCAAATAAAATATTATACATTTTCATTAATGACTAAAATAAAAGATTACAGAAGAGGAGCGACCGCACTGTATTACTCCACGCGCTGAAAACACGCAGAAGACCCAGAACGACGACGTTTCGCTCTTAGTATAAATATAACATTCAAAGGCCAAAAAACTGCCATTCCATGATGCCAATATAATTGACCTGTTCCCGAATATCAGATCTAATACTTTGACGAGACGTTACTCTGACCACCACCCGATTCTACTAAACACCAACACGGCTTACCTTGTGGACAAAAAGAGAAGAACTTTTAGATTTGAAGCCATGTGGTTGTCGCATTCGGACTTCAAAGAGGTGTTTAATTCGGCTTGGAATAGGAAAAAAGACTCCCTCCCTGATGCTATTGAGGAAACAGAAAAGGATATGAAGGTTTGGAAAGAAGAAGCGTTCGAACATATTTTCAAAAGGAAAAGAAGGATAAGGAACCGATTGAGAGGCATTCAAAAGTCACCAAATTGTATTTACTTGTAGCACCGTTAAAATCTAAAAAAGTCTCTTAACAATGATTATCAGAAAGTGTTGGACCAAGTGGAAATTGTTTGGTTACAAAAATCGAGACTCGACTGGGTTCTCAAAGGGGAGAGAAACACTAAATTCTTCCACACTACTACAAAGATTAGACGAATAAAAATCTGTTCGTGGAAAATTCTTGGGTTACGGATAAAAATCTGCTGGAACAACATGTGGTGGGTTTTTATAAACAGCTATTTGCTAGAAAAGAAGTGGAAGACATGGACAAATATTACAAGAAATTCCTCCCAGTGTTAAACAATGGAGAAATCCAGTTTAAACAAAGAAGTTTCTTTGGCAGAAATTAAAGAGGCCTTATATTCTATGAAAGACCTTAAGGCTCCGGGGCCAGACGGAATCCAACCTATTTTCTACAAAAAGCAATGGAACACTGTGAAAGACACTTTACACCAGTTTGTAAGGAATTCTTTCGACTCTCAGTGTTGACAATCGGATCCTAAAAGTGAACTTGTTTTTGATCCCAAAATCTAGGGAGGCCAACAAGATTACTATGTTTCGTCCTATTAGCCTGTTTAACACGTCGTATAAACTGCTGACTAAAAACCTGGTCCACCTGATGAGACCCATTCTTCAAAGAATTATTGGTCCTTTTCAAAAACAACTTCCTTGTTGGAAGCCGTGCATATGATTATGAACATGAAAGGACGTAAGGGAGCGATCATTATGAAAATTGACCTCCAAAAAGCCTACGATAATGTGGACTGGAGTTTTCTCGCTAAAACCCTTCAAGATTTTGAGATCCCTCAGGATATGATTTCGCTAATCTTGTACTACATTCAAAATAGCGAAATTGAGTTATTATGGAATGGTGAAAGAACGGAAGGGTTCATACCGGGTCAAGGCCTTAGATAAGGGGAACCCTTATCCCCCTATCACTTCAACTTAATGATGGAAAGGCTATCTCATTTAATTCTGGAAGAAGTCGACAACGGGGAATGGAAAGCCCTAAAATTATCTAGAGGGGTACTCGTATGAGTCATCTCTTTTTTGCAGACGATCTTCTCCTATTCATGGAAACAAATGCGGTACAAATTGGGAAAGCCAGGGAATGCTTAAGAAGATTCAGCAAAGCTTTGGGTCTGTCGATAAACTTACAGAAATCTAAGATGTACATCTCCCCCAACATTGGAGAGGACACAGCCGCTTATCTAAGTTCTCTTAGTGAGATCATCTTAACTGTTGACCTGGGGACTTAACTAGGGGTCCCTATAACACACAAGAAGACCAATTCAAACACCTATGCCTATATAATAGAAAAGGTGATGAGGAAACTAGCGGGATGGAAAGTGAAGGTGCTATCCATGGCATGTCGGCGAACGCTTATTCAAACGGTCACTACTGCAATTCCAGTGCATACGATGCAGATCTCTATGCTCCCCACTACAATTTGGAACAAGCTGGATAGATTAAACAAGAACTTTTTATGGGGTGGAGACTCGGAATATTCCCATAATCATTTAATAAATTGTAATATGGTGTGTAGGTCAAAAGCCAATGGAGGTTTAGGACTACGAAAAGCGAGAGATATGAATTTGGCATTAATGGAAAAAACAAATGAAAGTTACACGTAAAGCAAGAGGCTTTATGGTGTAAAATTTTTAGAGAGAAATATTTGAGAAGTACCTCTTTCTTGGACTGTGAAGGTAAAAACCAGAATTCTTCAACATGTAAAGGTATCTTAAAAACACGACATTTAGTAAGAAAGCTTGCAAATGGAAAATAGGCTAGACGAAAACATTTAGCTTACGGCACGATTGGCGGACCAAAAATTGACACCGCGAATAGACGGGAAAGTGTTGCTCATTATCTTACTGAAGACTACGGCTGAAATCTCCAAGGGATTGAACATCTGAATTCAGAAGCAACTCTAGAGAAAATATGCAAGAATGTGAACCCGGGAAGAAATATGAATCAAACCCTTGATAGAGTCGAATGGAGCTACTCAAAGAATGGAATATTTTCAGTAAAATATGCTTTTAAAGATATTCTGAACAACACCACAAATGAAGATAGTAGTCAAGGATATAACTAGATTTGGAAAGTGAAGGCGACCGAACGTATAAGATTCTTTAACTGGCTATGCTGTTTGAATAGACTAAATACCAAAGAGACAAGTGCCAGGAAAATATAACCACTTAGACAGATTGTATAGAGTGTCCAAGGGAAATTGAATCGATCGAGCATAGTCTGCATTAGTGTCGAATAGTGAAAGCCGTCTCGGAAGAAGTAGAAAGAACATACAACCTGAACTTGCTAGATTCAGAAGAGTTTGTAACATGTATTAAAAGAAATAGTTTCCCGAGAAGAACGAATTTGGAAGGGTCGACCTGGGGCACCATCTTTTCAACAACAATTTGGGGAATATGGCCACAATCTTACAAGAGATATCAGAACAACAATAGATTCGAAGAAGGAAGAGATTACCAGGGAACCCAGATGGGTTTAATAGGTTAAACCACCTGAAGGGTACTATATTTTGAGCTCTGACGGAGCATGCAATATAGTGACGGGAATCTCTACGGCAGGAGGTCTCTTCAGAAATGATAAAGGAGAATGGTTCTGGGTTATACAATAAACATCGGGAAATCAACAAGCTTAATGGCAGAATTATGGGGCATTAAACAAGGTCTTACCATAGCGAAAGCTCTAAATATGAAGAACTTGCTGTTGGAGGTGGATGCGAAAGAAGCAATCGAAGCAATCAAAGGAGAGGAAACAGATAACCTGCAATAAAGAACCATAGTGAGGGAGTGCATAATGCTGATGCAAGAAGTCGGAGTAAAGGAAATAAAATATGTATGGAGGGAAAGCAACAAGTGCGTCGACTGTCTAGCAAATATAGCCATGAACGGAGAAGAGGGAAAAAAAAGTTTAGCAGATCCACCAGATGATATTCTCAATCTATTAGAGGCAGATAAGTGTGGAGAAGAAACTCTGAGATTGTAAATATGTAATGTCGTCGTTTTTAGAATTTGTACCCAAAAAAAAATATCAATTTAAACTATAATATTTTTAAAAAATATTATTATATACACATTATATTAATTTAAACTATAATAAAAATATAATCATAATAAAAATATATATATAACTCACTATTAATATTTTAATATATAGATCATAAATTTTATTTATTTTTAAATGATTAAAAATAAATATCCAAACCAATCTAAGAGGTCTATCACTTATTCTTCTCTTAACTCACATGATATGTCTGATATATGTTTTAATGTTTTCATAACATAAAATGTTTATTTACAAAATGAGAAAATAATTTCAGTGATCGAAAATGCCTTATAATATACGATTTTAATCAATGTTTTTTTGGATTTACGAAAATGACCAACAAATTCGCAACGCGAACTCCAATTTCGCAGCGAATTTCCCAAATTCGCAACTCAGTTTCTGCAATCGCAACGCGAATTTCTTTCTCGCAACGCGATTCCAAATTCGCAACGCGATTTCCAAATTCGCAACTCGATTTTTGAATTCGCAACTCGATTTTTGAATTCGCAACACGAATTTCTTTTTCACAACACAAGTTTCCTTTTCGCAACAAGATTTTCTAAATCGCAACACGAATTTTGTTTTCGCAACTCGATTTTCGAATTCACAACACGGATTTTAATTTCGCAACAGCTTTTATTTTCGCAACACAAATGTTTTGGGTATATAAACTACGCAGCAACAACAACTCATAACCTAAATCCCTAAATCGCAACTCATTCCATCTCCATCTATCACTCTCTCCGGTGACATCCGTTCCTATATCCAACGACATCCTTCCCCATTTCTAATATTTTTTACATAATTTTATTTCTATATAATTTTTCAATGATTTCTCTCCCAAATTATCAACTATCAACTTAATAAAGGTTTGTTTTTCTCTAAGTTAGTGATGATATCTAGTTTATAGCTCGTTTGTTTAATAAATTATTTTATAATTTGTAGAATGAAATCATCTAATGTTGATCATGTTTGGATAGATTTGTGTTTTGGAGGTCATGGGAGAATGTTCATGGTGTTTTACAATATATGCCTTTACCCATGAAACTTCAACTAAAACTGTCATTAAAAAAATTAACTTATGAAACTCTAATGTTACACGTTGCAAAGAAATTGAATTTAGGCCCCTAAGTGGATTTAGGCTATCTTATCAAAGAAAAGGTAAAGTTTATTTGTTAACCGACAATGAAGATGTTGAACGATTCATTTCTTACATTAGTGTTTCGCAAGAAGATGATGTTACATTGTATGTTGTTGAACCTAGAAGTAGTGAAGTTGGGTCAGTAGCGGGTAGTAATCAACTAAGTTCTTCAACCCAGTTTATGGTGCTCACAATGTACAACGTTGTTATCAACCTCAAAATTTAATGGTTGCACCACAATTTCATCACCAAGAAAATTTTGTTTCACCACATTTCCAATACCAAACACAATATCAAACACAATCTCAAAACCCACAACCTTTCCCTAACCCAAATCCCAATCAACTTTCAGCACCAAATTTAGGTTTTCGTATTGACCAGTTAGACGATGATGAGCTAATAGAAAAAATTTGAGTACTAGTCAGTATTCGAAATTTGATCTTGGTCAATACTCGGACTTTGATCTTGGTCAATACTTGGATTTTGATGATGTTTCAGAAGAAGAAACAGACCTTGCATGTAATGATTTTGATATTGGTCAATACCCGAATTTTGATGATGAAACAACCGCTGCCGAGGAAGATGTTGTTGATGATAATGAGGAGGAAGTTACGACTGTGAATGAACATGTTGAACATCCATTTGTAATTCATATAACCCTGAAGAAGAAAAAGAAGAAGAAAAAGACCCCGAAGAAAAGAAAAATAAGAAAATGTCACGGGAATATAACTGAATATGTCAAATTACTTCAAATACCGGAAGAAGAGTTGGTAAAGATAGCAGTTGATTGTTACACAAAAGTTATTCGTATCAAGAAAGATGATTGTTTTGATACAAAAGAAGACTTGAAGATAGCTTTGTATACGAAATGTGTGGAAGATGGCTATCAACTAAAAGTTAACAAATCAAGCAAAGATCGTTTCGAAACAAGGTGTATGATTGAAAAAAATTATACGTGGCGTATGATTGCAAAGAGGATAAAAGATTGTGAAATGTTTCAAGTTATGAATTTTATTGATAAACATACATGTTCAAAAACCCAAGTTTTTCCTCACCATAGACAGACAAACAAAAAGGTGTTGGGTAGTTTTCTGGCTGAGTTAATGTTTTTGAATGGTAGAGTATATCGGGGACATGAAATTATAACTGACATGAATGCTCGGTTCAAGATTAGTATCTCATATTCTCAAGCTTGGAGAGCCAAATGTTATGCCTTGGAATTGTTGAGGGGGTCGCCAGAAGCATCATTTGTCCAACTGTCGGCTTATTGTCACAATTTAAAGCTGAAACATCCAGGGTCGGTAAATCATATCAAAATAGATAGAGATGGACGCTTTGAGTTGCTGTTTATCACCATTGGTGTTACGGTTAGTAAATCAATATAATTTTGATAACTCATTTTTGTTAGTTACATGCATTTCACATTTAAATGATTATATTTCTTGTGTATATTATTTTATAGATTCGTTCGTTTATTACTTGCATGCACCCAGTTATTATAGTTGACAGAGCACATTTGAAAGGTCGATACCTTGGAGTAAACTTATTAGTAGTAGCCATGGATGCTAACAATGGGATACTGCCAATAGCTTACGGGTTGGCAAATCTGAAACCTCTGATTCATGGACATGGTTTATAGGGTATCTTAGGGATTGCATAGGTCCTATTAACAATCTGACAATCATATCCGATAGGGCAAACTCAATTGACAATACTATTAGAAGGTGGTTCCCAGATGCTTTTCATGGACTTTGTGGTGTTCATTTGTACAGAAATCTAAAATCAAGGTCTGCTGGTATAAAAAATCACAAATGGACATATTGGAATGCTGTAAAAGCTTACCGGGAAGTGGATTTTAATAAGCATATAAATTGTTTAAGACATGTTTTGCCTCAATGTGCTCAAACACTAGAAGATGTCGGGTTCGAAAGATGATCAAGAGTACATCAACTTAGAGCAAGATATGGTTTCATGACCTCTAATAGTGTAGAATCAATCAACGCTCTAAGTCGTCATTCCCGAAAATTACACATTACTATGTTAATAGAGTTTTTTCAAGCCTCTATTCAACAGTGGTACTACAAGAAAAGAAACCATGCAGGTATTATTTCTTTAAATTCGGAACTTATCATATTTAATATATTTTACTAAGTATTATTTATTTAAATTTACAGGAACATTGGAACTTCGTGTTACACCATTGACTGAAAAAAAGATAACGAAACGTATTGTGAAGTCAACGTCATGGAGAGTTGAACCATGTTCAAACACTTTGTTTGAAGTATTGGATAATAACTTAAATGGGCTTTTCGATCTAAATGCAAATACGTGTAGTTGTATGAAATGGAAAACATCTGGTTATCCGTGTGACCATGTTATAAAAGTTGCTCATCATCTAAACCAAGATGATTCAAGCGCATACGCTATGGATTGCTACACTACAAAAGTATATCGACAGACTTATGATGAAATTGTCTACCCTATTCCACATCCTTCTGAGTGGGACATACCAGATGACTTACAAACAGTTTTGCCACCAGTCATAGACAGCAGGCTACTTGGCCGACCAAAAAACCATGATCGTATACCGTCTAAGGGTGAAGAGAAAAGGATATCAACATGTAGTCAGTGCAAGGAAAGTGGTCATATCACTGGTTCCATCACAATCATATTTTCCTCTACCAAAATATGGATCCTCATCAAAATCCAAAGCTCATATGGTGCCAAGCAAAAGGAAATCAAAATCGCAATCAAAATCAAAATCCCAATCACAACCGGCTTCACCTTTTGAGACTTATTAACTTAGGTGATTTTTAAATACAAACGTTGTATTATGTGTATTTTATGTGTGAACGCATATATTTTCAGTCAGACATGTATTAGTAACTTGAGTTTGAACATTGCTGATCTGTTCTGTTGAGTTTGAACATGTATTTTATGTGATATTTTTAAATGCAAACGTTGTATTATGTGTATTTTATGTGTGAATGCATACATTTTCAGTTAGACATGCATTAGTAACTTGAGTTTGAACATTGCTATGATCTGTTATGTTGAGTTTGAACATGTATTTTATGTGTGATTTTTAAATGCAAACGTTGTATTATGTGTATTTTATGTGTAAACGCATACATTTTCAGTTAGACATGCATTAGTAACTTGAGTTTGAACATTGTTATGATTTGTTCTGTTGAGTTTGAACATGTATTTTATGTGTGATTTTTAAATACAAACGTTGTATTATGTGTATTTTATGTGTGAATGCATACATTTTCAGTTAGACATGCATTAGTAACTTGAGTTTGAACATTTTCAGTTGAACATGCATTAGTAACTTGAGTCAAATTCGCGTTGCGATAGTCAAATTCACGTTGCGAATTTGACTATCGCAATGTGAATTTGACTTTCGCGTTGCGAAAGTGTACCTTCAACAGGTCTTTTTTGCCTTCAACATAATACAGATTTAAAATTAAACAAAAAATCAATTAAACAACATTGTAAATGAGTTGCTATATATATGTAAAACATTTGTTCACAGTATATCCAAATGCTCCTAACAATAGGGAGCTTACATCCAAATACATCAATTTGTTCACGCAGCTCACTTCAGTAACCTACAGAAACGTTATGGCCATGAGATTTTCTACACATCTAAAACCAACAAACAATAAATTATTGAATTCTAGGTACTTAACCAAA